TATCTCGGCCAGGAACCTCCTGGAACGGTCCGACCTGGCTGACTGCTCCTCCCAGCAGATGTCCAGGTAATTTAGATCACCCATGACAACTACATCCCTTGCCTTAAGTGCCTCTGCAAGCTGGCCTGAAAATTCCCGGTCCAGCTCCTCCACTTGGTTGGGGGGGTCTGTAGTAGACCCCCGCTGTTAAATCTCTCTCTCCGCACAACCCCCTTGTATCTTGACCCAGAGCACTTCAGCTTGCCACTCCTCTGACCCCATTTTGCTGACAGAAGATGTGTATTGCTCTTTGACATAGAGTGCCACACCCCCTCCCTTCCTTCCTTCTCTATCCCGCCTGTAGAGCCTATAGCCCCTAATGCTAACTGCCCAGTCGTGGGATGAATCTCACCACGTTTCTGTAAGCCCCACTATGTCTGGGTTTGAACTGGCTATTTTGAGGGCGAGTTCCTCCTGTTTGTTCCCCATACTCTGAGCATTTGTATACAGGCATTTAAGGCCTTGCATAGCTGTGCTTGCCACCCCCCGATTAGGAAGACTATGTGGACCCCTGTTTCTTACCTGGGCACTCCTTGCATGTGTCATGTGTCTTGCTCGGGTGGCATCTCCTCGTCTTACTGCGGCCCCCTCCCCGGCGAGGCTAGTTTAAAGCTTGCCGTACGAGATCAGCCAACCTGAAAGAGAAGACACGCTTGCCTTTAAGAGAGAGGTGAAGCCCATCCCACCCCAGCAAGTCCCCCGCCCGAAAGCATGGGTCATTATCTAGGAACCCAAGGCCTGCCTGGCGGCACCAACTCCAATGCAGGCCTCATGTTGCCAATGCAGGCCTCATGTTGCCACCTCTGCTCAGAAGGGGGGACATGGGGAACATGGCGTGGCCTCAGGATTTGGAATTTGATAAAGAGAAAAGTTCCCAGCTCCATCATGATCTCAAGCAGATGATGACTACAACTTGCCGTCTGATGCATGAAATGTGTCCTACTACACGATGTGCAGAGCTGCGCTGTCTGTGCTGTGTGCATGGCAGTGGGGGGCAGCAGAAAACTTGAAATGTGCTAGAGGTTCATTTCACAGTGGGAACATTCTCATTTCAAAAATGAAATTGTTGGCCTGTGTGCCCTCAGTGGAAGAGTTTCCCAGTAGTAAAAATGAAACCTTTCTCTCTGGACCCCTGAAGAGATGGGAGGAGAAATGTAGATTCCAGAGTATAGGAAGTTTGGATTGCCAGCTTCACTTCAGCTTCATCTGTAGCAGAAGATTCAAATGATGGTCAGTTCAGCATTTTACACAAATATTAGGTCTTTTGAAAATGATAGTGTAGTTCACTGGCATTCTTATGTGAACACTTTTAATGCTTTTAAGGGGGAATTATCTAGGACATCTATATTCTCTAACATGTTGCTGCTTTTAGTTTAAAGACTTTACTGACTAAATTGCCAAAAGCAGAAACTATATACTGAAATTCTCTTGAAAATGTGAAATTTTATTTTCAAACCTATATTTCACACTTTTATTTTAAGTGTGCTAGTAAAATCTGAGTTGATATTTAAATGATTCACTGGATAACTTTTAACATTTTAATGGTAGAATAACCTGAAAATGCAATTAAGTGAAAGATGAACATGTAAAATCTCCTCATGTTCTGAAATGCACTTAAATGTGCCAAGGTTTAGAGGTGGTTGATAAATGATTTACGAGCTCTCTACTGACAGCCTATATCTTGATGATGGCTCTTAAGGAGGCATGGAATGCCTTTGTGATGGGGTCTCACGATAAACCTCTTGAGTACTTTGAGATATAACTAGCTTTTCTTAAAAGCTGCTGATGGTCAGATTATGCTCAGGGAATTAGTGAATGCTGTGTAATCAGAGATACCTGCCTCATTTGCAGCAAGATGTGCAATGATGTTGCAGGGAGGCTAAAAGAAGAGCAAGGACAGATTTATGGTTTAGATCAGGGCTGTCCAGCTTCTGAGCAGAGGGAACCACAGACTGCATGTGCAACATGCAGTGATGCCCCCTGCCATGTGGGCATCCTAGCCGTCCCCCA